CCCTTGAGTGGGGGAAGAGGGCAGCTGTGCCTCCCGGATAACAGCTGGCATGGGCGTGGAGGCCAGGATGCCACTAGACAAATGAGCACACACCATGGACAAGGCATCTCCCCACAGAAAACTTCAGTGACCCCAAACGTCAAATAGAGAACCTCTGAGGTCATGATGGAAGGGCGGGGACACCGAGTGAATCTGCTTATCCTCCAACAGTGTGTGTGGTGCAGCCACTTCAGTGACCCGGCCTGTTCCACGGGTCTAATATGTCTATACTGTAACCTCCAGGGGCTGGGAACGATGGCTAGGTAGCACGAGTGGTGATATACGTCACTAATCTACAGAGCTGCCCACGCTGAGGCCACAGAAAATCATTTTCTAAGTTTACAATGTCAACCTCATACATACCAGTCCTTGCCGAACTTTGCTCAGTCCTCATTAACTGGAGGAATTGGCCTCACCTTGTGGCCCCAATGCTCTCCTCTCTAATTCACATGTCTCCAGCTCTATCACCCTGGACTGCAAGGAGGTTTCAGTAACACTGACCACGGGGCTATAGATCTCACCACTAATTAAATCCAATCAGCCCTCCCCAGAGGCCAGGCATAGGAGGCGGCAACCCAGTAATGCCAGATGGGAAAAAAAAAGAAGGGGATCAAAGTGAAATGATCAACAAATGGACAAAGAAGCTGGCAACATCATATGGGAATCATAAAACCCCTTCTTCCCTGGACCCAACAATGGCAGCATTGGAATAGCCTCACAAGCTTTCTTTTATTAAAAGAAAAAAAAAATCTACTTGAGACTCAAATCCTAGTTGAAAATTTAGCTGGTAAAGAAAGGGGCCTCTACAGAAACTTCAAGGTCAACTAAATATCTAGTCTTTTTTTTTTTTTTTTAACTGCATGATCAAATTTTTTATCCTGTGCTTGGCAGAGAAGGGTCCATTTAAACAATATTTATATTATATTCTTAAACTAAACCTGAGCCTAGGGGGGGAAAAATGTAACTCAGTGTCCACAGGAAAACACTGGAGAGCCGCAGGGTGGAGAAGGTTACCACAATCAGAGAAATGGCTTGGGTTTCCATTTAATTCCTATTTGCTCAAATGCCAAAGTAATTTTTCCATGAGGAGAATGAGGTCATTCTTCACAGAAAGGGATCACTGTCTCAAAATTCATATGACCAGGAAACACACGGCCCACATAATAAGAGGTTTCAGAAACGGGAACTAAATAAAGGAGCTTAAGATGATAAATCTGTTCATGTGGTTTAAGCCCCAGAGATGTGAACAGTCTACAGTGATTCTCCCACAGGAGAGAGCCTCCCTCGCCCCAAGACTCCCCTGTTGCTCCACACCAGTGAGCTTTTCCAAAAGGCTGGTTCCCCAGAGTTTGCTCTGGAGGAGACAAGTTCTAGTCCCTGCCATAGGTTAGAGTGGTACCCCAAGGTACAACAAATACAGGCGTACTGTAAAGCACACCACGAGAGGAAACTGAAATTCCCCAACTTTGACTGTCTGTCTACACTTTGGAACTTTATTTCCTCCACCAAATCTCCAACTCACATAGGGAAACCGCATAGCATGAGGTTAAAGAGTGTGAGGTTCAAATCCCAGCTTTGCCTTGTCCCAGCTGTTGGTTTTAGGAAAGTGACGTGACTCTGTTCCTTACATTTCTGGGCTTGAAAGGGTGGATGATGATACCAACACCTAGGAGCACTGTGAGAAGATGATGAACTTAGCATAGACCTCAACACTGTGTATGTTCATGAAGACTCATCATTTTCATGCCAAGTTTTCTGGTCCACAATTTGGATATAAACACTTCTAAAAGGACAACAATAATAAAGCGAGAAACCAGTAAATTCTCACTGATCCAATCAGGATCCATTTTAGGAATAGGAGTTCAAAAGTTTTGTATGAAGCATCTCAGTAGCCAACAGAGGGAGACTGACTGACATCCAGGTTTCCAGGTCCCTAGCTCTTGGGAAGAGCAAAGGGAGATGGCATTACTTTTCAAAAGAACATATATTACTTCCCCTGACAGAAAAATGTGGATCCTCCCATGCCGCAGAGGCGTGTCTTTCACATTCTGGTGAGGGCATTCATTCAAGGCAGACCAGGCATCAGTTACAAGGTCAACAGCTGGTCCAGCTGAGACTTGTCACAGCCATCCTGAGCCTCTAAACAAGCCATTATCTGGCAACAGCAGATTGGGACCATCTGTCACTGCAGGCCGCATATGGCCCCAGTAGATTGTAAAAATAAGGTTGTCACAAAAGGTCATTAACTCTGCATCGCTGTTCTGTGGCAAGCTCCAGCCAGAAACAATGACTCTCCCATTTTATCTCCAACCCTCTCTCCAGCACTCAGAGAAACTGAGGCCAAAGGCAGGGGCCCTCCTGCCGTAGCAACTGACAAATACCGGAAGGGGCAAACTCGTTTCCCTTGGGTGAACTTTAAGTCCCTTAAAAATGTTTCACATCCTCTTAAGGAATTCCAGGAGTGAAGGTCGACAAATTGTACCACGTGCAATATGGCCTGGGAGAGGGAGCAGAGTTTGGATCCCAGAACCCACATAGAAGCCAGGCACTGTGAGATATGTCTGTAACCCCAGCACTGGGGAGGTGAATACAGAGGATCTCTGGGCCTTGCTGGGCAGCCAGTCAAGTCGGATCAGTGAAATCCAGTGAGAGACTGGACTGGCAGGTTTTGTGTGTCAACTAGACACAAGCTAGATTCATCAGCGAGGAAGGAAGGGAGCCTCGGTTGAGGAAATGCCTCCATGAGATCCAGCTGTAAGACGTTTTCTCAATTAGTGATCAATAGGAGAGGTCCTAGCCCATGGTGGGAGTGGCCATTTCTGGGCTGGTGGTCCCGGGTTCTATAAGAAAGCAGGCTGAGCAAGCCAGGGCAAACAAGCCAGTCACCAGTGCCCTTTCATGGCCTCTGCATCAGCTCCTGCCTCCAGGTTTCAGCCCTGTTTGAGTTCCTGTCCTGACTTCCTCCAAGGATGAACAGTGATGTGGAAGTGTAAGCCAAATAACCCCTTTCCTCCCCAACTTGCCTTTTGGTCGTGGTGTTTCATCAAAGCAACAGAAACCCTAACTAAGACAATGACCCTGTCTCAAAAGATAAAGAAGCGAATGAGGAAGAAGCTTGATGTTGACGTCTGACCTCCACGTTATCATACAGACACCAGTACACACGTATAGCACTCAAAATTAAATTTTTAAAATATACTTAAGGAAGCTGGCAAGGTGGCTCAGTGGTTAAGAGCATTTACCGCTCTTGCCAAGGACCTGGGTTTGACTCCCAACACTCACACATTGGCTTACAACCATTGCGACCCCAGTTCCAGGGGATCTAGCGCCTTCTGGCCTCTGAGGGCACCAGGCATGCATGTGGTACAGGTATAGACCTGCAGACAAAACATTAGCACACGTAAAATAAACTTTTAAAGCATCAAGAAAAAACTAATTCACTTGAAAGAAGAAAACACGAATGAATGAGGTGAGAGAAGAGGGCATTGGGGTGGATTCCAGATCTCCACTGGTTTGGAGCACCCTGCAGTAGGCATGGGAGTGAGTGCAAACGTCTTCGACATACTGGTTTACTTTCTTTGGGAATGTACCCATGAGTGGAATGACTAGATCATATGGTGCCCTCTGTTTTTAATGTCTTTAAGAACTTCTAAGGTGGGGGCAGGGTGGCGCACGCCTTTAATCCCAATACTTGGGAGGCAGAGGCAGGCAAACCTCTGTGAGTTCAAGCTCAGCCTGGTCTACAGAGTGAGATCCAGGACAAGACAGTCAGAACTACATAGGGAGAACCTGTCTACAAAAGAAAACCAACCTGCATTTTTGTGGTAGCTCTGCCATGTTATATTCCATTTAGTATGCCACACCACACACAGTGAAATACTATTTAGCCATTAAAAAGGAAAATTCTGTCATCTGAGACGACCTGAAAGAGCCTGGAGAAGAATGTAGCACTGAGCTATGCCAAACTCATAAAGATAAACAGGCCATTACTTCAAGTCACACTTGTATACAACTCTAAAAATATTGTACTCACAGAAGTAGAGGGTAAAATTCTGGGGAAATACTGACCAAAGAATAGGGAGAATAGATCCAAGAGTGTGTTTGTAAACACGGTAACTACAGTTAATCACACTGTTTTACATTCCTGAAAATCAGTGAATCAATTTTAAGTGTCCCCAATATACACACACAGATATACATACATATAAATACACATACACTCACACATACAAATGCACACGCATACATATGCACACATACACATTCATATGTTCACACACACATACACACAAATAACACATGCAAGCATACAGGCATATACACATGAGATAACAAGTATGATAATTATCTCAAGGCAATTCACAGTTCATATGTTTCAAAATATGAAATAAATACAATGAGATTTTTATTTTCCAACATTAAACACTAATTTTTAAAATGTCTTATTTTCTGCAAACAAAAAGATCAACTAAATACTATAATATAATTGATTAAGCACTTAAAGATACACTCAAGGAAAAGGTTGTGCTTTTAAACCCTGGCTGCATAATCTGTGATAGTTACTCTGATAAGAGATGAGGTATGTGCCTTGTCACTTTGATTATGTGCCAGATGGTGACTGCTTAATCTAAGTAGAATATAGCAGACGTGAGGATAAAGGACTTGGGACATTAACTCAGAAAAAGCCATGGAACCCGTGCCCTTACTCCTAGGTCTGCCTGCTCTTCAATCCCTGTCCCACCACCCTGCAGGACCTCACTGTGAAGAAGCCCAAACCACCTGTGAAAGTCAGAAGTGGGCATTGCAGGGGGCAGCCCTATCTGAATTCGGCCTTCAGGACATCCCTGCCAGGGTACTCTAGATAACCCCATGCCCCACCATTGCAGCCCTGGTCCCATGTCCTTCTTCATCCCATAAGGCCCCAGATACCAAGAGACAAATCCCGCACTGTTGGCACCCACCTCCAGGAACGCAGTAAAATTGCTCCCGTTTCACATTCAGAATTACCGAGATAGTGAAAGACTTCCTGGCTGTTTCTGGATGCACTAAAAGAATAAAGAGAAGGAGCCCTCTTATCTACGCTATCCCATTTAATCATCAAAATCCGACGGAGATTGTTCCTGCCTCTGAGGTCAGAAAACTGAGGCTCTGTGAAGTTTAAAGGCACACGGGGACAGACAGAGATGGCATGTATGTGTTATGGCGTATTTGACCCCCAAGGTGTTTTTCCCTGTTCAGTGCTCAGACTCGGTCTCACATACCAGATCCTAGAAACCACAGCACCTCGGTACACAAAATCAGCCTTTACATTTGACAGTGCCACTGTTTGAGGTCCCTGTGTGCTCAGTCTCCAAACAGTGAGCCTAATAAATCCATATCTGGTCCCTCCTCCAATCGCATACCCATCCTGCTTCACCCTCCTGTTCCCAGACCAAGGGTGGGTTTTTAAAACCCACATCTCAGGGGGGGTTTAATCTCCTCCTTAAACTCTTTCTCACCCGCGCCGAAGTGACTCGCAAGCCTGATGAGGCGCTGGTGCCCAAGTTGGCCGTTGGAAAAAATCAACGGAGGTGAGCTTTAAAAATGCAGGCGCCTGAGTGAGGGAGACGGCTTAGTCAATGAGCGCTTGCCACATGCAGAACCCATGTTTGGTATGACGGGGGACAAGGGAGGATGGGGACCAGCATTATCTCTGGGGCTTGCGGCCCAGCCACCCTAAACTAACTGGTGAGCCTCGGGTCCCAGTGAGAAACTGTCTCAAAACACAAAGTAGACGGCTCCTGAGGAGCACCACCCAAGGCTAACCTCTGGCCCACATGCCCACACCTGAAGATACGACGGCCGGTAGCCATGCAAATACAGATTTCCCAGCCTCGCCTCCAGGGATGCCAGCCTCGGCTACCAGTGGCTCCTTAGGCAGGTAACTAAGGAAATATTTGCATGGCATATAAAGCCCAGTGTGTTCTGGCTCCTGCCAACCCCTCCCCTAACTTACTTTTTGCATTTCCTCACCTTATAGTTCACTCAGAAAATACCCCCTACACACACACACACACACACACACACACACGCACGCACGCACGCACGCACGCACGCACGCACGCACGCACACACCCCACCCCTGTCTCCGTCTATGCTGTCTCTTGTACCGGGAAGACTGCTTCCCTACTAAACAGTCCGGCAAATGCATGACCGTTTTTCATACACTTTGCCCAGTTCCCTCGTACAAATGGTTGCTGCCTTTCCCTGTGCCCTTACCATCCCCCACCCCTGTCCCCTAGCTTGAGAACTAAAAGTGATGTGCTAAAGCCAGGGACCCCAGCTTACTGTCTTCCGCATCCCCGGGGTGAACACAGTGCCCCATTTATCAAAGACATCCAACAAATGTTTGCTGAATGAATAACCCAATGTGCTTCCTTCCAGCTTTAGCTGCCAAGAAATGCAGAGCCAAGTTCGGTTACCAAGTCAAACCATTAGCTCATCCCAGGTGCCCAGTGGCATCTGCTCCCTCCTCCTTAGAGATCGTCTCTGTGCTCTTCTTAACAATCATCGACCTAATTCACATGAGGTTTAATGTTGCACGCGCTTTCAAATCCTTTTGAGCCAAGGTGGGTGTAAATTCCAAATAAGCCAATAGCTATATTAGTTCCTCAGGAGACTTTTGTTATAGTCATTGGGGTTTTTTTTAATATGCTTCATTCAGAACAGGTAATTTCTTGACAAAAAAGAAAATACAATAAAGTTGATCTGGTCATCAATAAAAATAATTTTTAAAAAAATACCTGTGATGGGATAACATATAGAAGTAGTCACTGAGTGGCAGGATGGGTGCCCCTCCCAAGCCCAGTGATGAATTCTTCACTCTGATCAAACGAGGAAATAAACACTTCAACAAATAGTTAATAAGCTTCCACTTCATACCAGATACCTTGGGTAACATTGTTGGCGAAGATATACTTAGATCCGAAGGAGCTTACTGTGTAATAGGTTAACGAGGTTGTGTATCGATACACTCTTGCAAGTGCATACTAAAAATGCAAGAATGCGAGATTTCTACTTGCTATAGTCAAAAGTTTCATAGACGCTATACTAACCGACCTATACCTTAAACAAGAAAGATTTAGTCATGTGAAACAGCCAGACACAGTCTTGCCAAGACTAAGAAATCAAGAAGGCCAGGGAGATGGCTCTGCCATTGAACCTGACAACCTGAGTTCAGACCCGGGACCACGGGGCAGAAGGAGAGAACCAACTCGTGCAAGTCGTCCTGTGACCTACACTGGCACACATGCCAGCCCAGCATATACACATATCAATAAATGTGCAACTTTCAAAAGCGGAAAGATAATGAGAATAGAGGACAAACCGTGGCCTGACTGACAGTTATCTATCATCCCAACCTTTATCCAGCTCTCACTGTGCGCCAACCATTGTATCACATGACTTCTTCCAATCAGTCCTCCTGAATGCACAGATAGGAATGGAAGTTAAAGCCATAGACACTAAATGACTTGTTCAAGGTCACACAGGAGACATCCATGACAAAGCTGTTACTAACTGAAGTACTCCAAGGCTTGGTGCTTAAGCTTTAAGCTGTCCTGTCGACCTTTTTGAGACTGGGGTTCACTGTGTAATCCAAAATAGCTTCCAATATGGATCTTCCTGCCTTTGCCTCCCAAGTGCTTGGACCACAGATGTGCGCCACCACACCCAGATGATACTGTTCAGGAAACAAAGGACAATGGAGAATGAGACCAAAAGGATTAGTTGGGCCTGAGTGGTCAAGGACTCTAACCTTGGTCCTGTCAGCCTTGAAGAGTGACTGAAGACTTTTTTTTTTTTTTTTAAGATTTATTTTTTATGTATACAGTATTCTGCCTGCATGTGTCCCTGCAGGCCAGAAGAGGGCACCAGATCTCATTACAGATGGTTGTGAGTCACCATGTGGTTGCTGGGAATTGAACTCAGGACCTTTGGAAGAACAGTCAGTGCTCTTAACCACTGAGCCATCTTCCCAGCCCCTGTCGACTTCTTAATAGAAGGAAATGACAGATTTTTACATTCAGTCCTTCAGTGCTTACTAAACGATTCCGTGAGTCCAAGAATGAATATTTACAATAGATTAATTGAGCAGCAAGCAGCACATAGAATAGATTGGAAGAGAGATACATTGAAGGAAATAAACTAAGAGATCATAGGGTTTAAAGAAGCAATGAGAGGGGGCTGGAGAGATGGCTCAGTGGTTAAGAGCACTGGCTGCTCTTCCAAAGGAGCAGGGTTCGGTTCCCAGCACCCACATGGAAACTGAGGAATAAAGGGAGCCAAGGTGACAGTGTGAAGGAGAGAGTTGCAAACTCACACGGAAGTGGGACCAGAAACAAGACACAGGAATTAATCAGGCACTGCTATAAGAGCATTTAGCCCTAGGAGCCCAGACTTCCCACGCTGCCTCTGACATAGGCGTGCCCACATTTAAAAAATGAATAAAAATAAAGCCTTTCGGGAAACTAAGACTGCAAGGCATGATAAACAGTAGCTGACATTTTGTCCCAGAGTCAGAGACAGTAGGGTGGGGTGGGGTGAACTGGAGAAAACATGACCTTCCCCCAGACAGGAGCAGGAGGTCAGTTGCCACCATCATGTAAGAATGCAGGATCAGTGTTACTGGCTCTCCAGTGCATTAAAAAATGAAAATTTTAGGGATGTATGCAAATCTCCTCATTAAGACATTTATTAGATTTACTCCTCTATTTTATGTGAGTATTTTGTCTACATGTGTGTACTTGTACCCACATGCATGCTTGGTGTCTGTGGAGGTCAGAAGAAGACTTTAGATACCCTGGAAGTGGGGTTATGGATGGCTGTGAGCCACCATGTGGGTGCTGGGAATCGAACCCAGGTTCTTCTGCAAGAACAAGTGCTCTTGGCCACTGAGCCATCTCTTCAGGCCCCCGAATCCCCTGATCTTTTCCGTTGGAGGTAAAGAACAAATTACAAGCCAACAGACTATGTTTGCAGAAATAGGCAGGCTTCTGTCCTGTCAGCCTGGGACCTCACAGATCTATGTGTCTTCATCAAGTCTGGCAGCCAAAGAGAAACAGGACAGTGATTTGACAGGCAGCAGAACTAAGAGAGGGCTTCGGAGTTGGCTCAAAGATTGATCATGAAGAACAGAGTCCTTTTGCATTGTTTTTGTTTTGTGTTTAGCCAATAGGAAGAGGCTGCTTATCAACAAGAAGAGGTACGAAGTTGCAAAAGAAGGTATAAAAAATAACAAAGGGGAGCTGGTGAAAAGCACTTGCCAGATAAGCCTGATGACTTGAGTTTGATCCCAGCAATCCCCAGTGGGAGAGAAATCCCAAAATTTGTCCTCTGACCTCCACACATGCCCTGTAGCATGCACATGTCTACATTTATACATCGTATACACACAAACACACAAATGAATTAAAACTAACAATTTGTGTTTTAGTATACATTAATAAATTATGGTCAAGGAGAGAAAAATCTAGTTAAGTACAGTTTACAATTAACTGAGCAGCAAGAAGTGATCGTTACATTAAACATGGTGTTGTTGCTTTCTATTGTGAAGACGCAGATCCTGTGGAAGATTGACAGCCCTATAGGTAAAACAGACTCCACTATCAGCCAAGACAATTTCCTTACTAAAATAAGAGTCTCGGGGTCTGTGATGTGCTTATGGCAACTGTCACCATGGGCAAAAGAAAAGTCACTGGGCAGCTAGTGATTCTTTCAAGCCATAGAACTCAACCCTTCACACTCAAATTTTCTAGATTTCACATCATTCAGAAGCTGATGAATGTCTTCAATGCCACTGACAACAGCCCAGCCAGAATCTATCCAATCGTCCCAACAAAGCTGCCAGCTCTTGTTATCCAAGCTGGCTGGAAGAAGAGAGGGAAGGCAAAGGGAAAACAGATGGTCTCCAGGCATCAGAAGCCATGCCATGTGGGCCACAGGATAATCCTAAACAGTCATCCACTCTCCAGGCAAATCCAACGTGGGTGAATAGATTGCCACATTCTCCATCCATTTTCCAACTCGGTGTCCCAGGAAGGATGGAGGATGGGAGAGAGGGAAAGAAGGAAGGAATGAGTGAACAAAGGAAGGAAGGAAGGAACAAGGGTTTCCTGGGGGATTCCTGAGGAAGAGAGAAAGTCCTCATGCCTCAAAGGAGTTAGAGTTTGAGAAAGCAAGCATGTTCAGCAACGAAGCTAGATAATGAGAGGGAAGGTGCAGTTTCAGGGGGAAAAAGCTGTTGATTTTTTTCCTATACGAAAGTCTTTCTAATGGCTTCAGCCACGAATCAATGTTTTCTACCTCACACTCAAAGTAGAGACAGCAATCACCCCTTTATGAAAGCGGGAAGAAAATTAAGGCCAGTTAGAGCACAAGCTACTATGTTGTGTCAACTGGACCTGTGTGTGGTTATGAAGTACCTGTTCAGGAAGCTTAGGTGAAGGCTCACCCTGAAGGTGGACCCCCTTAAGGAGAATGCATAAAGTCTGGACAGAGTTTTTAAGCAAGTATCTCTTGACAAAGGCAGACTGAAGAGCAGCTGAGTTCTCATTTTTCAAGTTTGCGTTGGGCTAGTCTGAGGTGCATGACAATAACTAGACACTAAGCAAATGTAAGGGCAGCTCCTGAGGCCTTGTTCCATGTACAGAAGAAAACCAACAGTGAGGAACACCAGGCAACAGGCTCCGTGAGGTTCCAGCAACAACTTTCCTGTGAGAAGATGTTGGTCCTCAGAGTAGCTGGCCACCTGAAAGGTTTGACTAGTTGCATGGGAAGTACATCTGTCATTTTCCATAGCAGGATTTGGGTTTCTCATGTTCTCCTTCGTATTTCTGAGATCCTAATTAAAGAAGTCCATTCATAGTCTAGAAGGAAAATACAGATCCCGGGAGGCACCTAACCATCATCCACCCACTCTGCAGGCTCCCAGTGAATGGTACCCACATGGGTATCTGAGATCCCAGGGATGGGAACCGGTAAAGGCAATGTCCCTGCGTTATCAGAAGTAGGGCATGCTATGGCCTCCATTCTCTCTGACAAGGT